ATATTATTACTGTCCCGTGTGAGGTAACCTTTATACTTATATACATATTGTCATCATATTTTTATGATTGGTTAGAAAAGTTATATCTAAATGCAAATTTTCACATGGTAATTTTTTTTACTATTTTTACCCAGCAAGTAGTAAAGCAACTACAATCCCATCGCTGGTTATGTAGCCTAAGATGGTGAATTGCACTGACTTAACAAAAACCAATTCACTCTTGCCTAATAGTACTAGGTAAGTATTATTTTCTACCTATTTGTGTGTGTGTGTGTGTGTGTGTGTGTGTGTGTGTGTGTGTGTGTGAGAGTGTGTGTCTCTGTGTGTGTGTGTGTATGTGTGAAGAAAAGCGTATGAGAATACGTGAAGAGGAATAAAGGTTGAGTACTAATTCGCTTACCTGTACGAGGTTGCCACTCGAGGACCTTTCTTCCTATTTTTTATCGGTTTTCCAAGTTATATAGCCAGCCCATTGCCATTTCACTTTAATATTCCGTTGGGCTATGTCAGTTACTCTGGTTCTACTGCGAATATCTTCATTTCTAACTTTATCACGTAGAGAAACTCCTCTCCATTTTTAATTTTTACATTTTTAGATGTTAGTTTGTCTAACATAAAAAAAAAACCATAAACCCAAGAATGTCTTTATATAGTTATTTATACTTAGGGAAGCACCATTTTTATTATTTATTTAAATTGTTTGATTTAATTTGATAACAGTGTACCTAAATGTAAGTATTTGTATGTATATTTCCCTCCCCAACAATATTTTATAAAGTCATACTCATAAAAACAGCGTTTCATTGTAATACATAATTATAAAATTCAGTATCAGCTAATTAACAAAAATATGCAACAATAAAATTACATAGTTATTAAAAAATATCGAAATCTAAGTAACGAGAGCATGTTCGTCGTTCCACATCAAAATTATATAAAAATGCATTTTTCAATTTCACTAATCAACGTCGCCGCAAAAATTTCTTCTTCTTTGGGCACTTTAAAAATTAATTTATTTAGAAAATAATATTTACAGTTACCAGTGTACAGATATTTACTAAATTAAGTATTTCTAGTCATAAAAATATTTATAATTGAGTATAAACTTTTAAAAAACTAATATATATTTGAACGAAGTCGCTCCAACACCGACGTGCGGTCCACCCTCGACGATGTCCGAAAACGGACTGACAGGGCGACGGAGCATGCGCGCTCGCGTAAATATATTCAATTTTAGGGAAAAATGATATATTCTCTTATAAAACGGGGAATAAAAATAAAACTCTCAATTAAAAATTTTAATATTTTTAAGACCTTTTTTTTAGTGTAAGAACTATTTAAAAAGCTTGTGCCGTTTTGGAGAAATTTTGCAAAATATGACAAAGATAGGTACTCTTTGGGGATTTTTTTTCTAATAAGGGGTTGACAAAAATACAATTTTGTTGAATTAAAAACATTTACTAAATCCTCTTCTGTTACCCTGTATTTTTTCTTTGTGGTTTAAGCGAACAGTTATTGAGATTTATTTACTTAAATATCCAAGATTTAGGCATTTCAACCACTGTTAAGGCCTTAAATATATCGCAATAAATACGAATGATATAAAAGTAACAAAATAACCTGCCATAATAACATCTTTATATATTTAGGTATTTATTACAAGCATGTATAATCATTGCCAACTGGCATGCTACATTTGACTCTATCAATATACATAATATGTTTAGTACATATAGGAAATCAAATAATTTAGTCATATCTTATTTAAATACGAATAGGCAGGCAATATTTCTGTTTCGATACGATTCAGGATCAATGAATTTGTTGTCATTATTGTCATTGTCATAATTTAAAATTAAAATTTTTAAACAGCCGACTTCAATATAAATTATTAAGAATAACTCAAACACTATTGGTCGGACCTTAATCAAATTTATATGGGACCACACGAGAAGTACCAGCTTTCAAATAAAAAAGAATCATTGAAATCGGTTCACCCAGTAAAAAGTTATGAGGTAACACACATAAAAAACATACAGTTGAATTGAGTCCCGTCTCCTTTTTGGAAGTCGGCAGAAAATATCATAAACTTACGATTACGCCAGTATATTTTAAGTCTATGACAAAATATTGTCACAAAATCATCATTATAAAAATAATTGGCAACGTCAAAAAAAGTTTAAATTCTATGTGTTTTCTACCGACTTCAAAAAGGAACCGGCAAAAACTCAATTCGACTATGTTTTTTTTATGTGTGTTACCTCATAACTTCTTACTGGGTGAACCGATTTCGATTATTCTTTTTTTTATTTGAAAGCTGGTGCTTCCCACGTGTTCCTGTGATCAAGTTTGTCTTGTGACCAATATTTTTGAGTTATTCTTAATAACTTAAATTGAAGTCGGTTGTACAAAATTTTTAATTTTTAATTATTATTGTATAAGGTTGTTATTAAGATTGACATAAGTAAAAAGAAACGATATACTTAAATTAAATGAACTGATACGTATTTCCGCGTATCCAATTTGTTATTGTTAAAGCGACTCGGGAGCAATTCGAACGCACTGGCAACGGTCAGAATTTTCCATAAAATGAACGATAAGAGGCCAGCGCGATAACCAATCGAATTTGTAAACGACATTTTAACACTTGCTTACTTGCTGTTTGTCGTTTTAAATTTAAAAACTAAACATTCATAAACATAAACCGAATAAGCACTCACAGCAACATATAACAATTTTAAGTTTAAACGTCATCAGCGGCGTAGCAAGATTGTAGTTAAAATACAACGAACATTGTAACATCGAAAGTTCTGAAAATAGAGATGTCAGAACACACAAACGTGTGTACAAGGACATTAGTATAAAAAATTATTTTATTAATATATAAAGACTAAGGAAAACTTAATGTCTTAATATAACTAGGTATACGCCTGACAACGCATCTCTATTTTGATTCACAACCGAGGATAGATGTAGATGTCTATGGGCCACAGCTTGTCATCTTTATCCTATAAAAAAATATGTACGTGGTAGAGCCACGCCGCAGGTATTTTATGGTTGTTGCACGAATTGGTTGGCTTGACCGGAAAAATAGCACACTCGCGCAGAATACCAACGTAAAATAGCAGCTTAATGCTGCTTTGTTTCTTATGGTGAATGTAACTGGAGATCCTTTTTACTGGAAACGAGGCGTTCAGTGTTAGTACTCATGGGTGACAACGCACCTGTATTCTCATTCTTAATTGAGGATAGATGTAGATGTCTATAGGACGCAGCATTTACTTACCATTAGGTAGACTGTGTGCTCTATTGTTACAAAAATTAAAAAAAAATAAGTTACTTGGCAAAAATGAGGGAGTGGGTGGGTAAGAGACAGCATATTTGGCAGCTTTAGCAGCCTCGAGCTGGAGCTACCTATGGTCTGCCACTGAACGTCATTACTCCTATTGACAATAAGTTAAGGGGATTTTACTGCTGAACATACAAACACACACACACACACACATGTTTTATTTTTGAAAGTAGATTAAAACCAAAGGTCACTACAGTCCACGGTGCAGAGCAAATGAGAAATAATTTCAGTTGCATTTGTTTTATAGAAAACGCCCCTACAGTAGAATTTTCTTCTAAATCTTTTAGACATTTTACCTAGTATGTGAATGGCACATGGACAAACATTCAGACCCGGAACAATTACTTGTATGCCACAAAAACTCATGTTCCTGCAGTGCCGCAACCAAATGCCTAGCCACGACTCTACCGAACTATCAAATTATAAATAACTCAGTCAGTGATGTCGGCATCAGTCGGGATTCAAACAATCAATCTCTCTTTTCTACCGACTTCAAAAAGGAGAAGGTACTTAATTCGACTGTATGTTCTTTTCTACCAACTTCAAACAGGAGACGGTATTCAATTCGACTGTATGTTTTTTTATGTGTGTTACCTCATAACTTTTTACTGGGTGAAACGATTTCGATAATACTTTTTTTATTTGAAAAGTAATGCTTCTCATGTGGTTCCATATAAATTTGATCAAGGTCCGACTAGGTACTTTTTGAGTTATTCTTAATAATTTATATTGAAGTCGGTTGTACAAAATTTTAAATTTTAAATTATTTTATATGTGTTACCTCATAACTTTATCCTGCGTGAAATAATTTCGAATATTCTTTTTTTATTTGAAAGGTGGTGCTTCTCATGTCGTCCCATATAAATTTGATCAAGGTCTGACCAATAGCTTTTGAGTTATTCTTAATAATATATAGTGAAGTCGGTTGTATAACATTTTTAATTTTTTTTATAGGATAGGGCGACAAACGAACACACAGTCCACCTGATGGTAAGTGGTTACTGTGACCCATAGATATCTACATCTATCCTCAATAAAGACTCAAGATGCAAATGCGTTGTCACCCGTGAGGACTAAGATGGAATGCTTCTTTGCCGGTAAAAAGGGTCTCCGGTTCTCTACACTCACCATACGAAACACAGCAGCGTTAAGCTGCTGTTTTACGCTGCTTTTCTGAGTGAACGTGATCCTTCCCCGGTCGAGCCGACCCATTCGTGCTACAACTTTACTACTAATATAGCTGCATCATGTCTCTACCACGTAAAATTTTAAATTATCTTTATTTGATTGACTCGTATAACCCACAGGATTAGATTAAGAATTAGCCATCACCCAAGGATTTAAAATAATACATACAGAGGATAATAAATATCTTCTTGAAAGTCAAGTGTTATTTTATCTAAGTAAACTCTGATAAATACATCACATAGTACTGCAGAAAAATGAAGGTCGTTGGTCTCAAATTAATAATCTATATATATCTAACAATACCCGCAATAATTGTTCATTAGAATCAATTTATTTCGCACAACAGTACCACTTAGTATCGTTAGATTTGTATACAATATTGATTATATTGCGAATGAAATACATGATATTATTTTGGTATACAAAGCTCTTTGGTGACATATTATTTTTTTCATTTCAGCGACACTTATCACCGCTACAGCGGGAACCTGCTACGGTTGGCCATCACCGACGTTACCCTACTTACAATCAAAAGAGAGTTATATACCAACTTCGCAAGACGAGGGATCATGGATAGTCTCAATCATGATCCTATGCTCCGCACTCACTCCTATTCCCTCGGCATACTTCGCTGATCGATTTGGTCGAAAAACTACATTGCTTCTGGGGGCCATTCCGTTTATCCTCGGCTGGGTGCTGGTCATCGTAGCTAAATCTGTGGCGGTCCTGTACGTCGCCAGAATGTTCTCTGGTTTGGGTTATGGAATAGTGTACACAGTTGCTCCAATGTACACTGGAGAGATCGCTACCAATGAAGTCAGAGGCGCCCTGTCTACTCTAATTACTTTAATGAATAAGGTAATTACACATACGTTATGTAAATTTAGGTTAAAGTGGTAATACTTGTACAATACACAATGATACAAGTACTCACGTCATTTATCGAATTGTTTAATGAAGCTTCTAGCCGAGTCTTAATCTTCTACGTCTTTTTTATAGGATAAGGGTGGCAAACGAACACACAGTCCACCTGATGGTAAGTAATTGCTGTGGCTGATAGATCTATCCTCAATTAAGAATTAAAATGCAGATGCGTTGTCACCCTTGCGGACTAAGATAGAATGCCTCATTTCCAGTAAAAAGAGTCTCCGGTTCTCTACACTCACCATACGAAACACAGCAGCGTTCAGCAGCTATTTTAGGCTGGTGTTATGTGAGAGCGTGGTCCTTCCACGGTCGAGCCAACCCATTCGTGCTACGTACTACTAATATATCTGCAGCATGGCTATAACACATAAAAATCTTTTACATTATACCTAAATTAATGAGATCTGGTGGCAAAACGTGACAATGTAAAGTAATTGGAAGTAAATACTTTAGAAATTCTTATTTCGGCTATAACTCCGCCTCCTTCGGAGATTGTAAAGGCTTGTTCAAATACTTTTAAATTCCATAGAGTACTTCCAAAAGATATCGTTAAATATTTTAAAACTATTGATGTTAAGAATACGGCAGACTTATGGGGGATTTCCGTTAAAGTTATTTTATCTATAATAGATATAATAGCACCGTATCTAGCCACTATATTTAATACAAGCGTCGTATCTGGTGTGTTTCCTGATTTAATGAAACATAGTAAAGTCATACCTTTATTTAAATCTGGTAGTACATTAGACCCCGCCAATTTTAGACCAATTTCTGTACTACCAACGTTTAGCAAAATTTTTGAAAAAATAATTTTGGATCAGATGTTAAGTTTCTTTAATATTAATAAAAATCAATTCGGTTATACAAGGGATCGCTCGACAACTGACGCCGGAGTTGAGCTTAGTAAACATATTTTTTGTGCATGGGAGAATTCATAGGATGCTTTGGGTATATTTTGTGACCTTTCCAAGGCCTTCGACTGCGTTCACCATGAGACATTAATCAGGAAACTACAGTACTATGGTGTCAAGAACACAGCGCTTAAACTTATTATTTCATATTTAAATAATAGAATGCAGAAAGTTATTATCAATGGTAAAAGTTCTTCCGGGTCACCTGTACTAATGAGTGTCCCTCAGGGCTCCATTCTTGGCCCATTCCTATTTCTAGTGTATATTAATGTCTTACCTTCTCTTGTAGGGGATAATCATGAGATAGTATTATTTGCTGATTATACTTCCTTGATTTTTAAACTTAAACGTCAATCATTTAAATGTGACGAAGTGAATAATGCTATATCAAAAGTGCATTGGTTTAACGTTAATAATCTACATTTAAACGGAAATAAAACTAAGTGTATTAAATTTACAACAACGAATGTTAAAAATCTGAGTACCAATGTGTTTTTAAATGGGAAAGAACTGAGCCTTGTTGAATCCACTGTTTTTCTTGCTATCACTCTCGACGCAAAGCTTTCAGTGGGGCCCCCATATGTCCAAACTAGCAAGCAGACTAAGTTCTGCAGCCTATGCTGTAAAAAAGATAAGAGGTCTCACTAGTGTAGAGACATCTAGATTAGTTTATTTCAGTTATTTCCATAGCATAATGTCTTATGGGATTTTGCTATGGGGAAATGCGGCTGATTCAGAAATTTTTCTTAGAGATAAATTTAAAGAAATAAATATATTTACTTTGGCCTCTCAATATATTTACGAAAATTTAATGTATGTTAACAAAAACAAAGGTAGTTTTAGTAAAAAATGTGATGTACATTCTGTAAACACTAGGAACAAACACAAGCTAGTGATACCAGTTTCTCGACTCCACAGAGTCAGTAATTCATTCATGGGGCAATGTATACGCTATTACAACAGGGTCCCGGAAAGTGTACAGGCTCTCTCTATTGCCAAGTTTAAATGTTTTGTTAAGTTGAAACTGTTTAAAAAGGGTTATTATAGTATAAATGAATACATGGTTGATAATAACCCCTGGGAATGAGGTGGTCGTTCCAAGCTGTTTCTTAAACAAATTTTGTATCTACCTATCATTAATGTAAAATATGCTTTTAAAAAAAAGTCCCGCTGGGTTTTTTGCTGGTTTTTCCCAAGACAGAGATTTTTTTTTCGAACCAGTGGTATAGAAAAAATGACTTTCTATAAGAATTACACATGTGATCTATGTTGAATAAAAAAATATTCTATTCTATTCTATTTGATTCTTACACAGTCTTTTACTTCCCGCGCCCCACTTGTTCTGACATAACATTTTACAACGAATCACGACGCATAACTTTTCTATTCTGTCTATTCAAACACGAGCAATATTTACTTGTATTTCGCTGTCATTGCAGTCATATTGCGCTTCACCTTTCACTAAAGTGTCAGTATCTATGTCTGTTTTATTTGCTTTAACTTGATAATACTGATAAAGTACTAGGCTACAAATGCAACGTAAAGTTTTTACACTATTTTTTTCACCTTTACAGTTTATTTACATTATTTCATAATATTAGATATAAAAGTATTTTATTTATTTAAAACCTACTTCTATTTATTTCCATTAGTTACAACCACTTTTATAAATTCTAAAAGGAAGTTTTCCTTACCTATACAAATAATAAAAAGAAAGCTGTTGTAGCACAGGGGCTAAACACTCGCTGTTAATTTCACAGTACGCGAGCAACCCATGTTCGATCCTCGCCGGCACCATTGATTTTGCAATTGCAATTTTAAGTGGTTATTTACCAGGTGCTCGGCGGTAAAGGATATAATCGTGAGGAAATCTGCATGACTAAGAAAATAAAAAAAATATTTCAAAGACATGAGAAGTTCGTCAACACGCATCGGTGCAGCGCGACGGACATTTCCTTGCTCTAAATCCCTATCAGATATATATAGCTGTAACTTTTGTATACAACTATTAATAGAAATTGATTATAAAACACGTATTTAAAAACCTGTTGATAAAAATAATGTATTACTCAAATTTATTTATTGTTTGATTTATATTTCAGGTCGGTATTCTTGCCCAGTACTGCATTGGACCTTTCGTCTCGATGCGTACGCTAGCTGCCATCAACTTGATCCTGCCAATTTCCTTCGTAATCACCTTCATCTTTCTACCTGAATCGCCTTACTACTATTTAAAATTTGAACGCTCAGAAAGAGCTGAACGATCTCTAAGAAGCTTACGTACTGACGACATAAGACTTGAACTTAAAAACATAGAAATAAACGTTCAAGAAGATATGAAGAATAAAGGTTCTTGGGGTGATTTAATTTTTGAAGCTACGAACAGAAAAGCTATGTGGATAAGTATTGGAGTGTTCACTATTCAACAGCTGTGCGGCAGTGCCGCTGTTGTAGCGTACGCACAAATAATATTCAAAAGCACTGAGAGTAAGATTGATCCATACCAAGAGTCAATTATACTTGGTTGTGTACAAGTTGCAACTTGTACTCTCTCAGTAATTCTGGTGGATCGTGTTGGACGGAAACCTCTTCTGCTACTGTCAGCCCTCGGTGTCGGCTTAATGAACGGTACAATTGGTACCTACTTCTACTTCGCTACTTGGTACAAGTCCTCGATTGAAAACCTTCACTGGCTACCTCTTGCAGCCATTGTTGTTTACATTATATGCTACGCTATCGGCTTATCTACGGTACCATATGTCATCATTGGAGAAATGTTTCCTACAAATGTCAAGCTCTACGCATCTTGCGTTGCCCACATCTACACCGGCATTTCAATGTTCGCAGTTCAGAAATTGTTTCAGGTAGGTTTCAAGTGTTATAAAAATGTCTTATTGCAATTGAATCTTTAGTAAAAGTGAAACCGACTTCAAAAACAAAAAAAGTCACATCTTCGTTTCTAAAGTCGGTGCAGAAACATAATGTTCCAAGAATTACTCACTGGCACTGCGTAGAGATGTTGCATCTCTTTGCGTATTTTATCGCATCTATCACGGGGAGTGCTCTGAGGAATTGTTCCGACTAATTCGAGCCGCTAAATTTCATCCGTACCATATGTACGATTGGCGTTCCACCACTGTGAATTTTGAAGAAGTTTTCTTCCAACTTCCTTGTGGAATCGTTTACCACCAGCGATTTTTCCGGACCGATATGACTTAGGGACCTTCAAGAGAAGAGCCTACTCCTTTTTAAAGGCCGGCAACGCATCTGCAATTCCCCTGGTGTTGCAGTTGTTCATGGGCGGCGGTAGTCACTTACCATCAGGTGAACCGCAGGTTCGTTTGCCCCTCTCCTATAAAAAAATTAGGAGTAAAGTCCGAGTAAACCCTTCATATGCTTTATTAAAATTTTTGTTAAGTTTTTGAAGTCGATTTACTTTTATTAAAAGTTGTATTATTTTACCCGTTTGAGTGGCCTTAGCAATATCACAAGTTCATGGCAACAACTATAATTTCGTTTAACTTATCCACACCATTAGTGATAGAATTTTATTTATGAAATGTTTATATAGTATAAACTATACCTGAAGTATATACAACAATTTAATTAAAAAATATCATTTAAACCGGACCAGCCTTTTTCACCGATTTCTCGGTGAACTTCCGCGACAAAAATTAGCCACCATTTTTTTGCCGACGTTACGAGGTTTTTGCAGTTTTGTCGGTAATTGTCCTTCTGACTAGACCCATGCCAGTGATTGAGTTTTATTTTCCGGATCATATTGATAGGTCCATATCTCGTCACCAGTAACGATTTCTGAAACACGCCTAGATGTTAAGCAGTGAACTTGTGATGAGCTATAGTAGTAGTAGTATATGTATAGATATATGTTGTACTCTTGACACGACCTACATACATTTATATCTAACAGCTAATTATAAAACCTTGTAGAAAGAATTGTAGTAACTTGTTATGATATTGAAAAAAAATTATTTCAATTTTTCTTACTTTTAATTTAATCATGATGTATGTCAAACTCAGTAGGTACAAAATAAATTAGGTAGTATAATTTTTGTTTCTAATAATAGTCGTAACTATCTGTCATAGATATTATTTTCCATTTGCTTGTTTTTATTATTTACATCCTAGACATGTTTTATCAACTATGTACATATGTATATCTATAAGAATTGGTATTAACTTGATAATTTATTACCATTTGTATATGATTTCAGGTTGTAAAAGATTCCTGGGGTATTTACACAGCGTTCTGGGGCTTTGCAGTGTTCTCACTCCTCGGTCTGGCGTACATGCTCATTGCATTACCAGAGACGAAAGGAAAGTCTTTTGCTAATATTCAAGCAGGCCTTAAAAGAGATGTTGCTCGCGATAACGCCAGCAAGCTTATGACTGTTGAGTATTAAACCCTGATGCGATCTAGGCTTATAAGCTATGGGGATCAAGTTGAATGAGCGTTAAGAATATTGATACTTAAGATTTAATGATAGTTTTACGTACGTACTTAGCGTTTTATATACAAAAAACTATAACACGGACGAGGAACGTTAAACAATTAGCCTGTAGAGGGGTATGAGGGGTAGGACGGTAGGGATCATAGCGCTGGCGCCAGAGAAGGCAGTGAAGTCATCTGGATCGTAGTCATCGGGCAGCCTTCGTGACGCCACAACGCTCGCATACAGTTTCGCCGAACGTTTCGCCGTCCTCGTCTTATTCGGACTCTTAAAATCGACCAGGTACAGACCGAAGCGGGACCTGCAAAATGCATTTACAATATCATGACGAGTAAATTATATCACAGATTTGACTAAATGTTTTATTTATTCTCATTCGCCCATATTTAGGGACAGAGACAAAGAATGTGACTGTGGTTTACAAGTTTTTAAATGGTCGTAGATATTTTTTGTTTACATAATTAAAACGAAATTGTACAACCAGTGCGTGTTGCCAGTGATGACTTACGGAACTGAGACGTGGTCCTTCACTGCTGGCCGTATGAGGAAGCTCAAGGTCGCTCAGCGAGCTATGGAGAGGGCTATGCTCGGAGTTTCTCTGCGTGATAAACTTAGGAATGAGGATATCCGCAGTAGAACTAGAGTGACCGACATAGCCCAACGGATTAGTAAGCTGAAGTGGCAGTGGGCCGGCCATATAGCTCGAAGAACCGACAACCGATGGGGAAGAAAGGTTCTCGAGTGGCAGCCTCGTACCGGTAGGCGAAGTGTAGGGCGTCCCCCCACGAGATGGAGTGACGACCTGGTAAGACATGCAGGAAGTCGATGGATGCAGGTGGCTCAGGACCGTGCTTTGTGGCATTCTTTGGGGGAGGCCTATGTTCAGCAGTGGACTTGTGAAGGGCTGTAATGATGATGATGATGACATAATTATTTTTAATATAAAAAATTGAAATGTGATTTTGAGCAATTCTATTTACTGATGGTTGACAAACGTCGTAGAAATTATCATGTCGTCATTGTATTCTAAACCTCACTTTATTATCGCTTCATTTTAAGTAGTACGAAATGATGAGTTAGTGGACCTTTTTTAGCGTTATCAGTCTATCTATTTAGCGTCTTCCGCTACTGCTATCTTATCGTACATATTTTGAATGATGCTTAATTTATAGTTCAAGGAAATATAAACAACACGTAATAATTTGTTTTGCAAATTTAATTTCATATCTAAACGACTTTTATAGAGCAATATGAAAGTAAATAAAATTTACTAGTAAACAGTAATATATCAAACACATTTAGATATTAAAAGGATTAAAAATAATACTTATCTGACAAACATTCACATACCCATTCTAGAGTATTAGTAGCTTTGTGATAGTTAGTTGATAAGATACCAGTTGACAAACAAACAACATTGCATCCAGCTAAAAACTTCTAATCTGATGTAGGTTATCTTGCATATTGCTTGCAACTATCTTTGTAAAATTCCGTTAGATACTGAATCGGCGGAACATTGAGGAAGGCAAGATTTTTAATGGTTAATGTTTCATCATTTAAAATACCGGCCAAGTGCAAGTCGGATTCGCGCATAAAAGGTTCCTTACCACAGTAATAAACATTTCTATTATATGAGCCCTCTTTAATTTTTAATTTATTTTATTATTTTTGTTATAGTGACAACAGAAATACATATTCTATGAAAATTTCAACTGTCTACCTATTACGGATCATGAAATAGAGGCCGCTGACAGACGGATGGACAGCGGAGGCTTTGTAATAGGATCCCGTTGGTTACCCTTCGGGTACGGAATCCTAAACAGAACTCTTGGAGATTTATAACCGGCACAATTTAATATCATCAAATCTGATTCGCCCTATGAGGCAATCTATTGGGACTTACATATATTAAGCACTAAGCAGTGCACTTTTGGTAGTCTGCAACAGTAAATTTTGCAACAAAATTCATAGCTACAACAACTGCCTAAACGACAGATCAATATTCTTAAACAGATGTTCATTGTCGTGGGGCGGTGGCGTAAAAAACTCCACCCTATTTCTTTCTGTAGGTATCGTAATGGGAGACTATAAAAGATCAGTTCGACAAGCTTCCGAACCGGCCCGAACTAAAACTGAAGTCTGAATCACCAAGAGCAGAGGGGAAGAAATTAATGAAGTGGCCAAGATCTCAAGAACTAAAAACCGTATATTCAAGACTGTTGTTAACAATTTTAATGTAGATTGTAAAACCTATACCCAAACTTGTACAAGTGATAAAATCAAAAATTTTGTACAACCGACTTCAATATAAATTATTAAGGATAACTCAAAAACGATTGGTCAGACCTTAATCAAATTTATATGGAACTATATGAGAAGCACCAGCTTTCAAATAATAAAAGAATTTTCCAAATCGGTTCCGGTGTCTTCAAGTAATCGGTGAACATACATACATAAAAAAAGATTCCGAGAAATCGAGAACCTCCTATTTGAAGTCGGTTGAAAATGGAAAACAGCCTTAATATATGTAGCAAAGAGAATAGGCCAGCGAGGTAGGAGAAAAAAATAGCAATCGAGAAGAATTTGTATAAATCCGTACTGTTAGGTCTCTGAGATCACGAACACACAGGCTACCTGATGATAAGTGGTTGCTGTGACCCATAGACATATACATCTATCCTCAATAAAGAATCAAAATGCAGATACGTAGTCACCCATGAGGACTAAGATGGAATGCCTCTTTTCCAGTAAAAAGCGTCTCCGGTTCTCTACACTCACCATACGAAACACAGCAGTGTTTAGCTACTACTTTACGCTGGTATTCTGTGAGAGCGTGGTTCTTCCCCGATCGAGCCGACCCATTCGTGCTACAACTACGCTACTAATATAGCTGCAGCATGGCTACCACGTAAAAAATTATATACTTAGATGGAAATTTTAAAATTAAATTTCGATATCAAAATAGATATTTTACTTTATAAAGGATTACTTCAGTTTGGGCTTATGTATTAAAAATAACTTACTAATAACGACCACAACAAGTCCTACTCACAAAATGGCTTTCTAATGCTCGACATATGTTTTTAATGCAAATTAAGCTTTAAAAAAACTTACACATAACCATCGTCCCATTCAAAATTGTCCATCAAACTCCATGCCAAGTAACCATGCACGTTGCTGCGGTCTTCGTGGATACCGTGCAGCAGCGCGTTTAAATAATGGCTGTAATACGACACCCGAGCTTTGTCATCTAGGCCGCTAAAATCAGCGTAACCATTTTCTGTCACTATAATTGGCACGTTGTTGTAGGTTTTCGTGAGCCACTGGAGCAACCGCCGAAAACCGAATGGTACTACCTGAAAGTTTTTATAAATATAAAAAAGTATATGTGGTAGCGGCATGAGAGATTTTAGCACGCTATTTGATTTTAATTTAAAAAACGACTAATGCCTTAATACCGAACGCTACTCAAAGTTAAGATGACGTTAAGTCTAGTGCTGTCTCTATCAGTTTAAGTCAAAGTACGTGTGACACCACGAGATTTAACGACATCTTAAAATTGAGTAGGTAACAATTGATTATTTTATTATAATTAGGTCATAAGACTAAAAGACTTGAGGTATGGTCATTATAGCATAATTTAAGCGTCAAATCCTTTGAATGATGGTGAGTGCATGTTGTAATCTAAAGGCATCTGCATTTACCATTTCTTGAAAGTTTTGTCTATATACCTACTAAACACATGGGGCCGGCGAATTGGTGAGCAGATATTCGATACTAGCACATGGTAATGCTGTTATTTACAGGGCTGTGAAATTTGGATAAGGCATTGTATGATAAATTTTCCGCTATCGGTCGGTCATTACAGCTTTGTTCCTTTATAAACATATTGCTCCGCATGGAATTCGCTATGAATCAAATTAATGGAACACCTCGTCGACACAAGCTAGTAGTACCAGTACTCAGTACTGTAGTATACAGTACTGTAGTACCAGTTACTCGACTCCATCGAGTCAGTAATTCATTCTTGGGGCGATCTATACGCCTTTACTACAAAATTCCAAATAATATACAAAATTTGACCTGCTCAAAGTTCAAAAACTTTATTAAACTAAGTTTGTATAATAAAGGTTATTATAATATTAAAGCATTTATGGATGATAATAACCCCTGGAAATGAGGTGATACCACGCTACCAAACTATTTCTAATTTGTTGTGTTGTTAATTTGTGTAACATACATACATGATTGAAAGCTGTTATTTAAAAAAAAGGTCCCGCTGGGTTTCTTGCTGGTTCTTCCCAGGACAGAGGTTTTTTTTCGAACCAGTGGTAATTATACAAAAGAGTGACTTTCAATAAGTATTATTTATAATCTATATTGAATAAAAAAGTTTCTGTTGCTGTTTCTGTTTCGTTATCAGAAGTATGGAAAGTTGGTACTGGCTGGTCAAAGACATTTAAGTAGTAGTAGTAATATATATTTTTAATCTCTTTGAGGCCGGTGAAAAAACGTATAAGCAAAGAGTGACCTGTTAACTTATGACGTTAGTCTCTACTAAGTCTAGAGGATTTCCCGTATTTGTAAAGTGTTACAGGTGAATTTATAATCATAGAAATAAATCGCATACACACACTAGGTAGCTATACGCGTCAGGCTTGAAGACCAGCTCTTGATCTCCTATTTGTACGTATAATTAAACATAAATAATAGTTTCTTGTATAATAGTTTACAGACTGACGTTGAAATTGCCATATATCGCAAACGATAAGATTTCCATATTTTAATTCCCTAAAATATGTCATAATTAATGAAAATATGTCGCTACTTTTTTTGAATGATAATTTAATCTAATTATCTGTGTTTTCAATTAAGAAAAAACTAAACACAAGACGAGTGCGATACTTTTATTATCTTAAATCTCATAGATGGCTCTATAAATCAAGTCACTTACACAAGAAAATTATAACTCATTTATATTGTTCGACACTAAGAACACGGATGAATACGTACTCGTAATACCTACCTACAAATAACAAGTTGCAGAGGCGACAAGACAAATCAAACAGATAATGCAAATGCATACAATCGTAACTTAATTATCTCGATAACACACCAAGGTAAAACTAATGTATAATTCAATAGAATTATCAAAGCAACAACTTAATTTACATTTTTCATCTCTTATTTAAATAACGTGACTTTAAAGTCAGCTCTCATAAAAACTGTGCTCAATGTGACCTGACCTGTTTAAGTTAGGTTTTCCCAGTGGTAAAATAATTATTTGTATAATATATGCACGTTCAAAGAAATAATTATCACCTTCAGCCACGATGACGAAGATTTTGAAGGCCACTTAGGATCTTGAACTCTCACAATGCCCACGTCGTTTTGATGCGAAGGTATTGCGCCCACTTCTTTATCAGCCATACTGAGAAGGTATGTCGTGTAGTGATTTAGGCCGAAGAAGTCAGCTGTGCCTCGGATAAATGCTACCTCTTCAGTCGTGAACTTCGGTAATCTTGAGTGAGTGTAATTTTGGAGTCGACTTTTTTCATCTACAAGCTTAATAAGCTCAGGGGGATAGTTCCCTTCTGCTGAATAAATAGGATGCGCATACCAACCCACCTGTAACGAGACGAAAAAACTGAGTACTGATATAAAACAATGTTTTGTCATTAGAATATAAATAATCATAAGCCTCGCCTCTCGCCTAGATGTTTGGAAAAATAGCTCAACAGTAATAATTTGCAATAACATGTTTTGCTGTCAATCGTTCCCTTCTTATTTATCAGCCCTGGACCAAATGTTGCGATACTTTTTAAAAACGTTGTTGTAATACATCCTTTGGATTGATATAAAGTAGCCATAGAGAAACTAATCATTCAAAATTAAATTTTAAATAAATAATAAAATAAAACCAGTAAAATTATTTAGTTTATACATTTACAACATAATTAAATACAAAATTATTTCTCAAACAATTAACATTCTCAGTCTCTCAATGTCGGCACGTTGCATTAAATTTGCGTTACTTAGTAATTGCGAAACAATAAATTATGATTGTAATGTAGCTCCGAACTAAGAACTTTATCAGACAAAGAATTATTACAATTCACTTAAGTTAAATCTTGAAACTGCAATCTTGCTTTGTTTAATAAAAGGGGATATACCTGCAGACTTACATTCCCGTTACTTCTCCGGTCAAAGGAACCTTATTTCGAAAAGTTAGTAGATTTAAAATAATAAATGGTAAGTAAAGGGTAGTAGGGTTAAAAATGGCAATTGATAATCGAAATTTATCGAAGATGTTTCTACAGCCCTATTCAATCCGACCTTAACCTGCCTGACATTTGGCTGATATTTAATTTAGGTTAATTACCTTATTATACAAATCATATTAAAACTACAACGATAATGATGCTTTTGAATTTTGCTAAGAAACATTTTGTATTAAATAAAAAAATATATTCTACATAAATGTTCCAAGTCCTCGTAAGTCTTGTAAAAAAAATGTATATAAACACGATATTTCAAAGAAACTCTAGAAACAAGGCCTTAAACTTGTTTCATGTGGATGTCAAGGTAGAAAACGCACGACAGTTTCTACCAGAAGTAATTTGTAATCAGCAAATTTTTGCATCGGTTTGATATACTTAATATATATGTATTTTTAATATTTTTAAATCGATTTTCGATTTCAAGGTTAACAGATTTCTCAAGGTTATTCAAAATTATATGAATATATATATATATATATATATATATATATATATATATATATATATATATATATATATATAAATATAATAATAAATTAAGTAACACGTCTGAAGGTAATGAATTCTTTGGAACGTTTGAATTTTTGATAGGTCACTATTATTTTTTTATAAAACTTCAGTGACAAACGAACTTACATTTCACTGGATGGTAAGTGACGCGTCCGAGGACTAAGATGGAATGCCTCACAGTATGTAACTTTACTGGCTCTCTACACACAAATTTAAGTACACAGTAGTGTAAGCACTGCTATTTGGCAACAGAAATAGGTAAGAGGGTGGTCCCCCGGAGACGGACTCCTAGACAGAAAAACAATCCTACCACCTAGTAATATATTTATAATATTAAATATATTACGTAAACCTAGTAATATAAAAACAGTGGAATCTCGATAACTCGAATCTCGTTAATCCTCGGTAATCCTCAGTAAGACGAAAAAAGTGGCATTCCCCTCCGCTGAACACTTAATAATTTAAAATTTTGTACAGCCGACTTCAATATAAATTATTAAGAATAACTCAAAAACTATTGGTCTAACTTTGATCGAATTCATATGGGACCACATGTGAAGTACCAGCTTTCAAATAAAAGAAGAATCATCGAAATCGGTTCACCCAGTAAAAAGTTATGAGGTAACACATAAAAAAAACATACAGCCGAATTGAGTACCGTCTCCTTTTTGAAGTCAGCAGAAAACGCGTTATCTCGAATTATATAGCCTTTGTAACTCGAACAAAATGTTTTTCCCTGCGATTGATAGTACATATTTATACTCTATAACTCGAATTTCAAAAAGCAGACTCCGTAAGTTGAAGTTAGAAAAATGTAGTGACATCTTACTTTGAAATTTCCCAAACTGATAGCAATGAAATCCAAAAGGAATATTAATTTGTAGCTTCTGTTCTATTGTGTGTACTTTGTACACTTGCAATAAATGAATACATTCATTAAGCTTTCTAAGTAACACATCTGTATACCTTATGTTTGTTTATGTTTGGCGGGAAAATCTCGAAATTCTTGTTAAGTCGAAAACTCATTAACTGGCAATTTTTTGAATAGTTTTTCCCTTGAAATTCGAGTTGTCGAAATTCCACTGTATAACTAGGATTTATACATGTATCAATGAGGCATGCTACATAAAGAAATAGTATATGTACAAACATCCAAACTAGGAACAATTATTTGTAACAGTGACGCAACCAAACTCTTAGCCACTATGCTAAATAAATTAAACTCTTTCCTTAAAATAAAGTACGACAAAATATTATTGGAACGAGGTTCCTTATCGGACGGTACAAATTTGGCAGATGGGGGCTAGGCGAGAAATAGTGTACGATTTTTCCGTCACGATCCCTTCTGACGTAGTATAGACAGCCCTGGCGGCTATGAGGAAGCGAGACGGAATAATATCCATCTCCCACGCACTTTTTCTTATCTTGCCATGAAAGAAATATTATTTTAAATGACGTTTCATTTTAATAGACGCTAGTAATTCATTTATTTGTATTTGTTAATCAATAATATAATACTTTTATCAATATTAATATAATACGAAAGAAACTTCGTTCCAACCGAGTGTTACAACGCTCGTCACAACGCTCACGCATGTTTTTTACTCAATGTAGATTATTACATAATAGTTATTGAATTTCACTTTTTTATCTACCCTTCGTGCAGAAAATAAATCTGGCCTGAAACAAACCCGTAGGATTTTTTTTTTAAATAAGACTTAAACTTAAAATTGGCAACTGGGAGCAGTGTCAAAGGTCCGAGTCATCTGACTTCCTATAAGCATACCTGAACCTATAATATGAATTGAAACTATTTCAATTAAAATTGCTTTGTTCGTTGTTGTCTCCACCGACCGACTCTTTTAATAAAATAGTTTAATAGTGATTATAGTAATAAAAAAGTTTGAGCTATTTTGTAGAAATTACAATATAAATAGTTAAAAATAGTTTAAAGTGAGAATATACATAAATATATAGAAATTACACTATACATAATTGCACATATTATGTTAATACAAAAACCTTACATGTGTTTTTAAGTATAATTCGGCAGCTTCACGATCTTTCGGCGTATCAGTTTTGGGTTCAGCCCAATTGGAGTCTAATGACATACCGATTTTGCCTGAAACAATATATTATAATTTATATATATATATATTATAAAAAATAAAATTTTAATTTTTTTATAGAATTAGGGTGACATGCGAGCACAGTCCACCTGATGGTAAGTGCTTGCTGTGGCACATAGACATCTGCATCTATCTTCGTTTGCGAATTAAAATGCAGATGCGTTGTTAGCCGTGAGGACTAAGATAGAATGCCTTTTTTTAATTAAAAAGGGTCTCCGGTGCTCTACACTCACCATACGAAACACAGCAGCATTAAGCTACTACTATTTTCCGCTGGTTTATGTTGCTTAAAGTCTATTCATCAAGCTTAATTGTAATTCTGTACTACCAACTCTCAGTAAAATTTTTGAAAAAATTATTTTGGATCAATTGTTAATTTTTTTTAATACAAATAAATTACTTCATAAAAATCAATTTGGTTTTACAAGGGGTCGCTCGACGTCTGACGCCGGTGTTGAGCTTATGAAATATATTTTTAATGCCTGGTAGAATTCACAAGATGCCTTAGGTATTTTCTGTGACCTTTCCAAGGCTTTCGATTGTGTTCATCATGATACATTAATCAGGAAACTACAACATTACGGTGTAAAAAATTTGGCGCTTAAACTTATTACTTCATATTTAAGTAACAGAACTCAAAAAGTCGTCATTAATGGTAAATGTTCCTCCGGATCGGTAGTATCAACGGGCGCTCCTCAGGGCTCGATTCTTGGCCCATTCCTGTTCTTAATCTATATTAATGACTTACCTTAGCTTGTAGGGGACAATCACGATATAGTATTATTTGCTGACGATACCTCTTTAATTTTCAAATTGAAACGGCAGTCAATTAAATATGACGATGTAAATAATGCTCTATCGAAACTAGTACATTGGTTTAACGCCAACAATTTGCTCTTAAACGGCAATAAGACAAAATGTATTAAATTTACAATACCTAATGTAAAACATTCGAAAACCAATGTGCTCTTAAATGGGGAGGAGTTGAGTCTTGTGGATACCACTGTTTTTCTCGGTATTACTATTAACGCAAAACTTCAATGGGGCCCCCATATATCTAAATTAGCAAGCAGACTTAGTTCTGCAGCATATGCTGTAAGAAAGATTAGAAGTCTCACAGATGTTGAGATAGCTAGGTTAGTGTATTTTAGTTACTTTCATAGCGTAATGTCTTATGGAATTTTGCTATGGGGTAATGCGACTGATATTGAAGCTATATTTGTTTTGCAAAAGAGAGCCGTACGGGCGATTTATAATCTAAATTGTAAAGATTCCCTTAGAGAAAAATTTAAAGAAATAAACATATTAACTTTGGCATCGCAATACATTTATGAAAATGTAATGTATGTACATAAAAACATAAATAGCTTTAATAAGAATAAGGCTGTTCATACCTTAAACACTAGGAACAAACATAAGCTTGTAATGCCACTTACTAGACTCCACAGAATTAGTAATTCATTTATGGGGCAATGTATACGCTTTTACAACAGAATCCCAGAACATGTTCAAAGTTTGTCAATAAACAAGTTTAAAAGTTTTATTAAAGAAAAACTGTACAAAAAGGGTTATTATAATTCCCAGGACAGTGGTATTTTCCGAACCGGTAAATAAAACAATGACTTTTAATAAGTATTATGTAATAATCCATATTGAATAAAAATCATTCTCATTCTCATTCTCATTCTCAATTCTGGCAAATTTATCCCCTATGAAAATTGTTAATAGAAGTACTTGTCGCAACGTCCGACTAAAAGTACAAAGTAATAGTAATACAATAAAAACAAATAAATTCTTAACTTTGATTTAAAAAAACATATTAAAATGAATTATTATTGTCATCATCTAATTCGTGGGCGTATAATAGTAATTGTTGCCACGCTTGGCAAGCGGGTTGGAATCCTATTTTTTATTATTTTTCGTTATTAAGAAGATGCTCTAGCCCATTTTTTGTTTATTTTGCGGTTAATGGATATTCTTACGCCACTACTACACAGAAGTTGACGACATAAATCACAAGCTTATGGAAACTGCCCATACGATCGAATCTAAATTTCGTAAGACCCATCGCAGAAGAACCCAAAAACCTCCTGATCACACTCAAAATAAAAAAAAGGGAAATTAAAATGCATTTATCAACAAATATGTTCAGCGTAAAGGCAACTGAACGGACGGAACTCCAAAAACATACGGTGAAACTAACGCTGATTTAATATAACTATATGCTTTTGGGTTGTTACTTATTCGACATTATTCTGGTGATACCCTGAGCAACATTATAATGGTTCTCCAGTAGTTTAAAACAACAAAAAACTAGACTGTTTAAAAAACGAGGCCTTAATTTATTCAGTTACTATTCTATTCCGTTCTCCTTTGTGGCGTTACTCTTGAGGCGTGGTGCAGAAGTGTTGTTCTTCAAGAAAAGTTATTAAAAAAATACAGGCCGGTTTCTCTCCTAAGCCTCCTCTATGAGTTGCTTTCGAGTCATTCCGAATTAACAGACTTAACGACTTCTAACGAAGCCGATTTCATACACCCTTCGCCAAATTGTGAAAAAAAAAACTGAAGAGTAGAATCTGCCACTTTGTCTTCTATATGTGAACTATAAAAAGCCCTGGGTTCCATCTATAGCTGTTCATACCAGTTTCAAATAAAACAAAAATATCTGAAGTTTAAATATCTAAAAGAAAATTACTTTTAATCAACTTTACGAGTAACTCTTCACGGTATAAAAAAATGTATCAACAATAACTATGGCAAGATATTATAAAAGTTAGCATAACATAAAGTATAACTAATCAAGATTCTAAAATAGTGTTGCGCGCCACTATTAACGACTTGTACATGGCAACACTAGTTAGCACTAGCGCCCTCTAGTATCGAGTAGCAGAACTAGGAGAGTCAAGATCCTTCTAGAAATTTCGGAACCGATATGTACTCGAACATTCTAGATGTCGCTACAGTAGAAGGTTCTGGAAACTATCTGAGGCCCTATATAAGGCCGGTATAGACCACGACCGAGTCAGTATTGAATTGGCGATATAAGCGAATACTTCGAAGTGATATAACTGCCAACTAAAGTGATCAGTAGTACAATTGTGTTTTATTATTAGTGTGTTTTTAAGTTGTAATTAGTGTTCCGTACTTAAAGTGTCAATTTTGGTAATTCAATCGGCAGTTTCTAATTGTCTCGAACCCCAAGCTCGTAACAATTGGTGTCAGAAGTGGGATCAAATCATGCCGATTTTACTAAAGAACGACATGGAGGGTATCCGTACCCGAAGTCAACGCCAGCTGGAGACGAACCAGAGACGGTTTGGTAGTGTAACACCGCAAACGTCGGAGGGCCAGCTGCTGACCACGGAGGCCGGCCCGTCAGCAGCTCCTGCATCTGCAGCACCTGACTCAGGTGCTCTGATGATGATGCTGCAGGAACAGGCTCGCCGACAGGAGGAACAGGCCCGCCGACAGGAGGAACATACCCGTCGGTTGGAAGAGCAACTGCAGCGCGGACAGGAGGAACAGGGCCGCCAACAGGAGGAACAGGCCCGCCAACGGGGGAAATAGGCCCGCCAACAGGAGGAACAGGGCCGTCGGTTGGAAGAGCAGCTCAAACGCGATAAGGAAGAGCAGATACTTCTCATGAAGGACCTTCACGCTACGTTCGGGATAGAGATAAGGGAGGTGAAGGATAAGGTTGCTCAATATGATAACCACCTGTCGGAAGCTGAAACGCGAATAGACCAAGTGTACAATCGGGTAGACAACGTGATGGCTGACGTGAAGAAAAAGCTGGACGACCTCAAAATTGGGGATGGAGTTACAGCTCCCGTGGTAGCTACAACACCTTCACTACGTGGATTCAAAGTGCCGCCGTTCGACGGTACTTCTTCCTGGTCGGCCTACAAAATCCAATTCGAGGCTGTCATGAAGGCTAACGGCTGGAATAAAAGTCAGGCCATGACTGCTCTCACTCTAGGCCTGTGCGACAAGGCCTTAACTGTTCTGGAAACCTTGAGGCATTGGAGGCGAGATATGGCGACGCTCACCCTGGAACACGTCTTTCGTGCGCAGCTCAAAGATCGCGTGGAACGCAGTAACGAAAACCTGCAGCAGTGGGCCCTTAAGATGGAGAAGATGGTTCGAAAAGCATATCAGTCTGTACCTGCGCTCATTGTAGGTAACCTGGTGCAGACATTCATCGACGGCATCCGCGACGTTGAAGTCAGAGCTGTTGTGAGGCTCAGACACCACGAGACGCTTAAGGACGCCTTGACCCATGCCTTAGAGGTGACAGCCGTACGTCAGGGTCATTATTCTCATCGCGTCAGGGAGGTTGCAGCAGCTATAGTTCGCGACTGCAATAAAGGATACAGCCCTGGGTGCTACGGCTGTGGGGAAAGAGGCCATCTTCGATCCAGCTGCCCTAAGCGAACTGTAGAAAGGGAAGGTAATCGATCTCGAGTGGGTAGTGCGGCTAATAGCCCCGCCCAGCGCAGCGGGAAATCTCATGGCAATGCAGATGCATTGTCAAGAAGACTTTGTCCTGAAGATTGCAAGCATTGTACTAGGCAAGAGGGTAAGGAAGTGGTATCTGTGAGAATTCTCAGGATAGACCACCTCAGTAACGAGTGGAAGGACAGCCTAAAACATGCACAGCAGGAAGATTCGGACATCAGGCTGATTCTGGAATGGATGAAGGCCAGTGCTCCTAAGCCCGAGTGGAGCGACGTCTCAGCGATGAGTTACACTATAAAATGCTATTGGGCCCAATGGGACAGCTTGCTGATTCAGGATGGAGACCTGTGCTGTAAATGGGAAAATGTTCGGGGAGACAGTTGCCATTTGCAAATTGTTGTCCCTAAGGCTAAAGTGCCGGATGTTCTACAGCTGTACCATAATGGTAGTTCAGGAGGCTACCTGGGAGTTAAACGAACTCTACTGAAGATCCGAGAACAGTTTTACTGGGTCAACTGTCGTGACGATGTCGAGGACTGGTGCCGCAAATGTACAAGTTGTGCGGCTGTAAAGGGACCTCAAACTCGTAGTAGAGGCGCATTGAAATCGTACAATGTTGATGCACCATGGGAGAGGATAGCCATTGACGTTGCGGGGCTGTTTCCGGAAAGTGAAAATGGTAACAAGTATTTCATGGTTGTGATGGATTACTTCACTAAGTGGCCGGAGGTCTTCGCCATTCCAAATCAAGAAGCTTCAACAGTAGCAGATAAACTAGTTCATGAAGTCTTCTATCGTTTTGGAGTACCTTTAGAGATTCACAGCGACCAAGGAAGGAACTTTGAGTCTCAAACATTCCAGGAAACTTGCTGAGTTATGTGTTATATGTGTATACTCATAAAACAAGAACAACTTCTTACCACCCACAATCTGATGGAATGGTAGAACGATTTAATCAGACATTGGAAAGGTACCTAGCAAAAGTTATGGAAAAACGGCAACGAGACGGGGACAGGCACATACAACCGTTCTTGTTGTCATATCGAAGCGCTGTTCACGAAAGTACATCAGTGACACCATCTTTCGCAAACTTTGGGAGAGAATTACGGTTGCCTGCAGACTTGATCACCGGAATACCACCTGATGCCCCACGCAATATAACCGATTATGCAAATGACTTGCGGAACAAAATGAATGACATTTATGAGCACGTCAGACACTCGGGCCAGCAAACGCCTGAGACGATGAAAACATGGTATGACCGCAAAATGAACAACAAAGTGTTTGACGAAGGTTCACTGTGGTTACACAATCCAGTTCGCAGCAAAGGGAAATCTCCTAAGCTTCAAGCTAAATGGGACGGACCGTTCCAGATTGTGACAAGGATCCATGACGTAACCTACCGGATACCGAAAGGTACCAGAGGTGCTCCTGTCGGTCCATGTGGATCGACTGGCGCGTCATTATGGGGCCAATAATGCTCGGGACGAGCATGTCTTAGGAGGGGGCAGTATTGCGCACCACTATTAACGTCTTGTACAGTTAGCACTAGCGCACTCTAGTATCGAGTAACAGAACTAGGAGAGTCAAGATCCTTCTAGAAATTTCGGAACCGATATGTACTCGAACATTCTAGATGTCGCTACAGTAGAAGGTTCTGGAAACTATCTGAGGCCCTATATAAGGCCGGTATAGACCACGACCGAGTCAGTATTGAATTGGCGATATAAGCGAATACTTCGAAGTGATATAACTGCCAACTAAAGTGATCAGTAGTACAATTGTGTTTTATTATTAGTGTGTTTTTTAAGTTGTAATTAGTGTTCCGTAATTAAAGTGTCAATTTTGGTAATTCAATCAGCAGTTTTTAATTATCTCGAACCCCAAGCTCGTAACAATAGTATTCATATTTATTTATAAAAATATTCATATTTTTTCTGAACAAGCACCAAACACAATTATTAATTATTATCCTTGAAAACGTTATTGTGTACCCTAAACAGGTTTTGGGTAACAGATTCAGGTAGACAGGCGTCGTCAATAGATTTTTGAAACGATATTTTTAAAATACTTTAAAATTTGACACGCTATATAAAATATTTAAAAACCTAAATAAAGAAGAGTCAGATTTTTTTAATTTTTCATGGGTCATCAATTCATCAATTTGTCCACTCCATGGTGCCCGCTTAACGTTGAATTGTGTGACAGTGTTTTTTGGCGCTCGTGTAGGGAAAGCCTATGTTTAGCTGTGGACTTCTCAAAACACTAATCTAATTTCTATGGTAGAGGCCTATGTTCAACTGTAAACTTTTGATAGGCTGCAATGATAATGTTAACGGTACAGTATTCTGCGACGACTTTGACAGTGTAAACCTGTTTTTCTGCATTTAAAGACAAATTGTTTGCTGCAAGCCATTTGGAAACTATATACAATATTTAGATGGGCCATTCCAATGTAAAATTGTTTTTTTTTTACTATCAATTAAATTAACTAATAAACTATGAGTTTAGAATGTTTAATATTAATAGTTACCTCCAACAATCGATCGGTAGTTAGAATCAAATAAATGATAAACATTAGCGTGTGCCTTTAGAAGGTTATGAGTACAAAGGTATTCTGCGATTCCATGACGGTTTAGTGCTGGTGCTCTGTAAGTACCACCATAGCCTTCTAAGCAAGTTTGCATCGGCTCATTGAAAGTTACCCAATACTTGACTTTATCAGCATAGTTATCAAACAACACCTTAGCGTAATCTGTATAATAGTCAACAATGTGTGCATTCGCCCAACCACCTATTTCTTGCAGTTTTTGCGGCAAGTCCCAGTGATATATTGTAACCATTGGTGTAATGTTGTACTTGAGAAGTTCATCTATAAGATTCCTATAATACTGAATTCCCAAAGGGTTTACATCATTAGCCAGTCCTGTAGGCAACACCCTGGGCCATGATATCGAAAACCTATATATAGCTACACCAAGTTCACGAACCATTTCAACGTCTCTTTTATACAAATGATAGGAGTCAGCAGCGACGTCAGCATTTGATCCATCTCTTACAAATCCTGGATTCGTATGTATTAAATGATCCCATATACTTTCAGACTTCCCTGAAAATAAAGTTAAATTATTCAGTGTTGGTGGAAATATTTTTCTTTATTTATCAACCCGTAGACATATATCTTCGAAAACAGAACTATTGTAGCACTAGATAATATGTAACGTAATATTATATGACATGCTTTTACTATCAGAGGCCAGGAAATTTTTCTGAGATATAGTCTCAAAGCGATAGCAAATCGCCCCTTACGACACCCACAAGAAGGATCGCGGTGATGAATTATTTGATACAGCCAAAATACGGCGAAAGTATTATAAACGCCTGGGCTGGTTATTCGTTACAATATATATATATATATATATATATATATATATATATATATATATATATATATTTATGTATATATATATATATATATATATATATATATATATATATATATATATATGTGTGTGTGTATATACAAGGTTATTTCACAATATACGCCCAAGTTTGCAGGAAGAAGAAGGAAAATAAGTAATATGCAGAAAATGCAGAAAAAGAATTGTGAAGAAAAATTAATTAAAAAAAACTCAAACGTTCTGTCTGTTTATCTTTTAAATTCAGAATGCGTGGTAATGCATTATTTTAACTAATTGTTATTCATAAATATCAAACGCCTGCTATTTTATTACGCATGCACACATTCGTAAGGATCGCTCGGTTGGAAAAAACGTTGTGAATTGAATCGCACATAGAGGACCGCGCGTACACGTAATAGTTTCCCATAAATCACATTCAATTTGGGATAATTGAAAATAAAAGTAGAAGCCATATTTACTCATATTTTCAAAAACTGCAGTAATGGTATATAATCATTTATATATTTTAAGTTAAATATAAAATTAGGATACCCTTTGAAAAATAACCCGTAAAATAATACGTTTGACTACAAGCATTTGAGTTGATATTCAGAAATTATTCAAATAATTTTTAATACTCACTAAAACAAATAAGAAATCCTTGAATACGAAATCAAAAAATGTTATTGATGAACTAATTTTGAATCACACGCTATAAAATTTGAATTTGAAGGATAGATCTTTGAGTTATCACAGAGTAATAACAACACATTAGTTGAATTATTAAAATTGATTGGGAAACTTTTATAAATAAATTTTACATTCGAATATTCGATTTTGAACGAAATTGATTTTTCTTTAACCTTTCATATTGATAGATTTCTTTTTATAATTACCGTCTTCGTTCCAAGCTCCTTCTATTTGGGCAGCTGCTGTTGATACACCGAAAGAAAAATCTTTAGGAAAGGTATAATTGGACTTCAAACCACCAGCTAAGTTAATAATCTCCGCATTTCTGTAATACAAGATTCAAAATATTAATATTCTGGGATAAGTGTTATATTATATACAAATTTCGTTATATTGGAACTAACTTTTACTAACAAATAAAAGGAACTTAATCAAATTATATATAAAATTAACCCTAAATAGCATTTACATTATTAAAATAATACAGAATTTCTATGAAAACAAATAACGGAGGCGAGTATAGTCATCATTACGTGTATCAGTTGCTCACCTCACGGCTGCGGCTACCCATTACGAGTCCTTAGTCAACAGTAGTGTAAGGGAATATATTCGAATATATTTCTGAACTAAAGTGTAACTCTACATTCTGCTTCCTGTACCCAGTAATACTGCTGGTTGAAGAACGAGGTTCAGAGGACCGACTATGGGTGAGAAACTAAAAAATCCAATTCAATGTGGTTTTACTTTTGTAACAGTGTCGATCAGTCAAATGGAATACTGATGATATTTTATTAAGAGGACTAAAATAAAGAGATAACTGACATTTCTAATCTTGCTGAAGACTACGCAACAAATAATGAATCGGTTTCATTATAATCGACACACACCATACGCAACAACTGTTAAAAGCAGTTATACCGATTTAAGTAAGTACCTAAAAATGTGGCATTTTGTTCAAAGATTAGAAGAAATACAAACATAATTTTATTCTTAACATGCCATTTTCTACAATACCCACGCTATTGTTACTGATATTTTAAGGAATATTTTTCAGTAGCTAATTCATAGAATAATTCTTGTTAGTTATAAATACACTTTTTGAAATGAACCGTTTTATCTTTATATATAAAAATTACGTGTCACGTTGTTTGTCCGCGATGGACTCCTAAACTACTGAACTGATTTCAATGAAATTTTGCACACTGTGTGCAGCTTGGTCCAACTTGAGAGATAGGATAGTTTTTATCCCGATAAATGACCCTCAAAATTTTTTATTGCGAATTTAAGGATTGTTATAGGAAGGGTCGTTGGAAAGGGCAGAACAACGTCTGCCTGGCGAGCTAGTCTTTATATATAAAAATTACGTGTCACATTGTTTGTCCGCGATGAACTCCTAAACTACTGAACTGATTTCAATGAAATTTTGCACACTCTATTCAGTTTTGTCCAACTTGAGAGATAGGATAGTTTTTATCCTGATAAGCGACATTCAATATTTTTTTATTACGAATTTAAGGATTTTTTATATAAAGGGTCGTCGAAAAGGGCAGAACAACTGCCTGACCAGCTAGTTGAAATATAAAATAACAGTTTTTTTTTCACAATTAATATTGTACATTGGATATAATTTATTACATATGTATTAATTTATTTTTTATTTATATATGTATTTTATTTTTCTCTAATACAGTGAAATAGTGCTAACTACTTTTTCTAAAACTAAGTGGTAGTCTCACATATAAAAGTGTTTTTTTTTAAATATTTATATATTATCATTGCAAGCAATCAATCACTTTTATGAGCTATTATCAAAAAATAATTGCCAAACGACCGCGACTTCGCTGACATGATATTGGCGAACAAATTTATGTGGGTATAAGCTGAGTAGAACTCGTATTTTGAATTTATCACTGCTATCTCTACTTGGGACTTGGGCTATGAGTGCTATTTCTTCCAAAAAGTAGAACTATTATATTCCGATTCGAAGAGCAAGTAAAATAATCTAAAGTAAAAACATCTAGGTATTCCATCTTTTAGAATTGACAACGCATATGTATCCTTATTTGTATGAAAAATTGACCGCACGTGTTCATGGGCTATATTATGACCCATAAACCATCACTAAACATCAGAACTTTTGTATCTAATTTTAATATAATCTAGCCTAATATCTCATTCATTTTTTTTCTTATTAAAAGGTTTACGTGGTAGAACCATGTTATATTATGGTTGTAGCACGAATGGGTCGGCTCAACCGGGGGAGGACCACGCTCTCACAGCTCTTAACGCTGCTGTGTTTCGTATGTGAGTGTAGAGAACTGGAGACTCTTTATACTGGATACGAGGCATTCCATCTTAGCCCTCAGGGGTAACTACGCATCTGCATTTTCATTATTTATCTAGGCTATATGTAGATGTCTATGGGCCAGAGCATCCACTTACCATCAGGTGGGCTGTGTGCTCGCTTGTCACGCTTATCCTATAAAAAAATATCTGACTATAACAATTGTTATTTCGTGATAATCGTAAGTAATTAATTTAATTTTTCTTAGATATCCTATATTTTCCTACAGCCAAGAATCGAAGCACCAGAAATATAGTGACAGCTTCTTTTGCGTCGGCAACCTGTCATAAGTAATTCAAACAACCTGTGAATTATTTACATAATCGATTCGTTAGCTTATCTTACTTTGGGTCAGTTTTATAAAATAATTCACAGTTTGTTTCAACAACCTGTGAATGATATACGTCATTGATCCGTTAGCTTATCTTACTTTGGTTCAGTTTTATAAAATAATTCACAGTTTGTTTCAACAACCTGTGAATGATATACGTCATTGATCCGTTAGCTTATCTTACTTTTGGTCAGTTTTTATTAAATGTCAAAACTAGATACACGATAATTAACAAATGCTCTAACCAAAAACTTAATTATTTAATCCTTACCTTTTAAGAAATATCGAAAGATTATCGGAATTAGTTTCTCTATCTCGTAACCTGAGTTCGAATCAGAATTAATTCTCAAACGGAAAAGGACCACGCTCACAACGGTAGCAACGCATTTGCATTTTGGCTCTATCGAGATAGGTATAGATGTCTATGGGCCACAACATCTATTTACCATCAGGTGGAGAGTGTGCTTGCTCACCCTTATTCTATAAAAACATAAGTTGGTCACTGAGTCACGCTTTGTGTTACAGTTTTATTTATTTGCAAATGAATATGAAGTCATCGTTGACTTCTAACAGAAACATTGTATCCTAAATTATGGTCGCTTTCAAACGACATTCCAAAAGACTCATAAAACTCAAACAACAGTAATTATTATTGGATTTGCAAGTTCAAATAATAAGAAACATGTTTTATTAATGTAATTAAATATTAAGTAACTTCGTACCTACTGCTAATTGCATAAAATAAAATTACCAGATGCTTTATCTTATTACGATGTGTTATGTGTATGATGCTAATACCTATCCGTTCTATTTATAAAAGGATATAAATAAGTTAATAAATACTTGTTTACAAAAAGCGTGCTTGTATATAAACTTCTTAGTATGACTTATTATAAATAATAGAAAAAAAAACAAACCATAAAATGCATCGTGCATTTATAAATTATTATTAATTATAGACCCCCGCCGCGTTTATTTATGTTAGCGCTAAACTCAAAAACTGCTATCGAGTATTTTCATTCGGTATTCACCTATGACAGACTCACTCATGAGGAAGGTTTACATATTTCTCTATACGAGTATATAAAAATCAGTTTCAGAAACTGGCTCGACCGATTCTGATGAAATTTTTTGTGTGTGTTAGTGGGTTTCTGGATGGTTTAGATTCACAATTGGACCCGGTAGGTGGAGCTGCTGTCGAAATTCAGAAATCACCCGTGCGAAGCCGGAGCGGATGAATTTAGCTAATTTTATAAAGATATATATCGATTGAGTAAAAAAAATCGTGCCTCCTGAGATTTTCCATGATGTACGCTGCGTAAATCGATTAAGTTATACCTTTATAAATAACTAGCTGCGAATTCCTAATGACAAGTAAAAAATAAAGCAATGCGGTTGCCAACCAGCCTGTCAATCTTGACAACTATGGCAAATATCCCCCCTAATATGAGACAATGGGGGATGCCTATGTTCAGCGCTGAACTTTGATAGGCTGTAACGGTAACAGTAGCTTTAGTTAATAAGTAGGTATGTATGGGCCCAAAATCAGTTATTGAGTTTTCCCTCAAGAAGGTCCAGAGTAGTAGCCTGGAATCAGGATGTTGGCGGTGTTTCAACTTGCTGCGGTCTGCCTCGGAAAGTACTTATGGTATTGGTATTGATTATTATATTATTAGGTATTTTATTATTGTATTATATTATATTTTACGCTAAGACAGTGCGATTTACTATCTAAAGCTGCATCACCACTTACCACCAGGTGGGATCGTGATCAAGCACTGGCTTATAATAAGTAAAAAAATATTATATTGTATTTTTATATTGGTCCCGCGTGTGATCTCCCTCCATTCGTATCGGATTGCGGTCACATCCGACTATGAGAGTGAGGGTACGGAGAGTGCATCTATACTTGCGCACACACTCGTGCATTACTTTATCAGGTAATGATCTGTCCTACGCAGAACTAGGCGCGGTCTGGAGTGCATTACATTATCTATTAAGATTCACTTGTACTTAATATGAATAAAGGAAGTTGGAATTGAAACAGTCTGTGACCCATGCCAACCATAGTAGCTTTTATTTGTATTTTTCATAAGAAAAAAATTATCCTGCACGTCTTTCATTGAGACGATAATTCTAAGTTTGTAAGTTGCTGGCGAAGACTTCAAGATAACCAACAACTCATACTACCGGAGGTTTTTTTTATAGTATAGAGTGACAAACGAGTACACAGTCCACCTGATGGTAAGTGGTTGCTGTGGCCCATAGAGATCTACATTTATCCTCGTTTGCGAATCAAAATGCAGATGCGTTGCCACCCGTGAGGACTAAGATGGAATGCCCCGTTCCCAGTAAAATGGGTCTCCGGTTCTCTACACTAACCATACGAAACACAGCAGTGTTGAGCTGCTATTTGACGCTGGTATTCTGTGAGAGAGTGGTCCTTCCCCGGTCGAGCCGACCCATTCGTGCTACAACTATACTACTAGCATAGCTGCAGCATGGCTCTACCACGTAAAAATACGTCTACACGTAAAAGTACAAGTAATTTGTGTTGCATGTGCTAAGCTGAGGCGGCGCGCAACCTGTAATCTATTTATTAATATAAATAAAATTGAGGTGTCTGTGTTACTTAAAATATTTTGAATGT